CGAAAACGAACATTAATTGCTGATGCTGAATTTGATCGTGAACAACATGATGAAGTACAACATAAACTTCAACAAACAAAAATTGATGAAGAAGGAAAAGATGAATGTACTTATACAATTTTAGTTACGATTAAAGATAAAAGAAGTGCATCAATGTTAAATTTAATTAATACATTTAATCGAGATGGTCTTAAGGTTAGCCATATGGAAACACGTCCAGCGGCTGGATCACCAACTCAAAAACAATCATCGGAAGGTAAGAATGTTTACTTTTTCGAAAACAATATATAATCTTGTTTTTATTCATTAGGCCTTGATGTTTTTATGGAAGTTATCTGTACAGATAAACTTATGGATGATCTTAAACGAGGTTTATTACAATCTGATTCAAAATTTGTTCTTAAAAATATAAAGGCTCATGCATCATCATCATCATTATCATCAGGTAAAGAGTCAAAAGAAAAAAATACTGAAAATAATACAAGTGATATTATTTGGTTTCCAATGTCAATATGGGATCTTGATAAATGTCATCATTTACATACGAGTTATCAACCTGATATGGATTCACGTCATCCGGGTTTTTCTGATAAAGGATATCGAGCACGACGTGAACATATTGCTCAAGTAGCATTTTCTTATCGACATGGTGATCTTATACCGAGAGTAGAATATACAACAGATGAAGTTAAAACATGGACGTAAGATCAATATATATGAGTAGGATTAAAATTATTTTATTTTGTTTTAATAGACTTATTTATCGACAATTGAAAAAGCTTTATCCAACAGCAGCATGCAAACAACATATTTATGTTATTGAATCATTGGAAAAAGAAGGCGGTTTTTGTGAAACAGCTATTCCACAATTAGAAGATGTATCACGTTTTATGAAAAGACGATCAGGTTTTCAACTTCGTCCTTGTGCAGGTTAATATATTTCATATAACTTCACTAACTTAATAACATTTAACATATAGGACTATTAACCGCTCGAGATTTTCTAGCAAGTTTAGCATTTCGAGTATTTCAATGTACTCAATATATTCGGCATCCATCATCGCCACTTCATTCACCTGAGCCAGGTTTAATAATCAATCAAGTTTTAAAACTTGTTTCATTCCATTTTATTTAAGATGTAGTTCATGAACTTCTTGGTCATGTTCCACTTCTTTCAGATCCAAATTTTGCCCAGTAAAAGAAAAATCATTTTACATATATTTTAAATATTTTATTTGCATATAGATTTTCGCAAGATATTGGTTTAGCTTCATTAGGTGTTAGTGATGATGATATTGTTAAACTTTCAACACTCTACTGGTTTACTGTTGAATTTGGTTTATGTCGAGAAAATGGACAAGTTAGAGCATATGGCGCAGGTTTGTTTGTTATTAAAACTCTTATTTTCTTCTTATTTTACACAATTCTTTTCTCTCTCTTTCTCAACAAGGTCTTCTTTCATCATTTGGTGAACTTCAACATGCATTATCATCAAAACCTCAAATAAAACCTTTCGAACCAGAAACAACAGTTATTCAAGAATATCAAGGTAATAATAATTAAAACAAAACTTCTATTCGAATCAATTATTTTCTCAACTTGTTTCTTTTTAGATGAAGATTATCAACCAATTTACTTTTTAGCTGAAACATTTGAAGATGCAAAAGAAAAACTACGTTTATTTGCAAAATCATTAAAACGTCCTTATGAACTTGTTTATGATGCACAAACACAATCTTTACAAATTCTTGATAATGTCAAAGTTATTCATCAACTTAGTAGTAAACTTAAATTAGACATGGATGTGCTTGAACATGCACTTGATCGTCTTCATAAGAATGGAATCAACTTTCGAGTTATATGATAAATGAAGAAAATCAATGATTTATATTAATGAAACATATAAAAAGAACAAAATATCTTTTTTTCTTTTCTTCTTCTTTTAAGAATAAAACAAATAAAATGAAATAAAGACACTAAAACATCATTATGATTATCAATTTCTACTTTTAAGTCATAGTCGTATTGTTATGATATGAGAAATATGTGAATACATTAAATTCTGGTGCTGATTATCAAAGAAACATACCAATACTTTTACTAACTATTGACTGATAACTAGTTAATGATGATGTTTTTAACATACTCCATGTAGTAAAAAACACGGTAAAAATGAGCTTAGAATCGATTAGAGCATGATTAAAAATTCATTACAATCATACGCTTTTAATCAGTTTTCAGCCGACTTTATTTAAAAATAACCGAAAAAAAACAATTATAATTTATTTTTTTCATTAGATTTTAATTCATTATAACCAGAATTCATCCTAATAGTCAATATTCATAAAAAAATCTATAGTTGCATTTGAACTAAATAATAACTCTTAATTACAATATATGTGAAAAATATTCTATTAAAACTATCAATTGTCGTTATAAATTCCATTAGTTAAATACACGACGACATCTTTATTTATCAATGCACTTTTTCAATACTCATTATCTCTTTCATTAAAATCATTAGAGCAGTAAGTCAAACGCAGCAATAATCCATGCAGTTTTATACTAATATAAAAGCAGAACGATACTGACGTCAATGCACTATATTTTTATTCTAATTGATAACAAGATGTATAAATGAACATGTTCAAGTTGTTGTTGTTGTTATAGTTTATATTTAGTTCTACTAATGAGTGAAGACAAAAACAACTATTACTTTCTTTACATGTATTTTACTTCATGAATCTTTTCTCCTTACTCTTTCACAATTACACTCTTTCTTTCATGTTGGAAATAGATTTCAAAGCTCTGAAATCATATAAAATCAAATATGATACTATGGATATAATAAATGACTTTAAATGATTGTTTAGAATTAAATTCTTTTATTCAAAATCATAATCTTATTTAAAAGAAAACTAAATCCTTTCTTTTTGTGAGCACATATATTGATTTACGATGAATAAACACATTATATAAAACAACAGTCTTATTCGCTAACATAGAATTTACAAAACAGAACAACATGAAGTAAATGATAAACAAAACATATATATAATTGTTTCATTGATTGAATTCGATTCATTCAATATCATTGTATATGTAACCATCTGACAAATTTTTCTTTTAAATATTGTCGGACTTCATGATTGTACCAAAGCAGATCCAGAAGAAGGATCATGAAACTTACTCCAGCTGGTAATTGTAAGAGATAGAAAAGCCAAGCTGGCATACCATTAGTTACACCAGCTGCTGCTGAAATGTAAACTGGTGACCATCCAGTGAGATATACGATAAAAACAAAAACCATATGTTTTAGTAAAAGAATGTCTCGTGAACTTAAACATTCAGTAGTAGAACTACCCGATATGCTTGCTGCAACGGTGTGAACACGACGACTGGATGCTCGTACAGTGAAATATATGATGCCATTCGAAATTGCAAATATAACTGCAGGGACTACTAATACAATGAAAAACTCATAGGGACCTATCCATGTCAGGGTCCATAGAAGTTTACCTTGCATAAACGCCTAGAAAGAGTAAATTACAGTTTAAACTAACTATTGATTGATAGTTTGTTTAATTATTATTTAAAACTCTTCTTTACCTCATAACACGTATAAAAAATTGGTATAGGTAAAATAAAACTCAGCATCCACTGTATACCCGCTGAGATGAAACACCATGATAGTTTTTTGAAAAATCTCTTCTGTGGATACACAACAGCAAAACATCTATTGACACTAATTGTTACAAAACCATAAACAGCTGAGCAGTTGAACATTGGTTCCAAATATTGAAAAAAAACACGCAGCAAAGGGGCCTTTGTAGACGCTGAAACAAAGTAACCAAATATGACATAATCAATAATCCAAAAAGTTGAAACCATAAATGTTAATAAGCAGAGATTCGCTGTCAAAAGATTGTTTACATTATGAAAACGTCGATTAAAGATAACTGGTAACAAATAAATTGCAGCCAGTATAAAATTAATTGATTCTACCACGATCGCGGTGACGACAACAATGTGAGAGGCATCAATCATGTTGTTGTTATTTTAAATGATTGTTTGTGTTAAAGTGGTGATGCTTTTATAAAGATAACGGCTAACATTTTTCTAAATGGAATTAAATTAGAATGATTATATTCTCGAGCAGAGTATTACCGTCTTTTTTCTTATTTTCTATTATCAAAGTTCAACAGAGGATATAACTAGAAAAGAAAAGTTTCACAGCGTAGGTGCATATGTGGCATGGAACGTGTTTCCGCCTCATCATTCGAACAGCACGAGACAATATATTTATAATTCTTTAATGGTGCAAAATAAATATGTGTTGTAGTTGTGAAGGAGAGATTTCAATAGAGTCTAAAGTGTGCAAAGAAAAAGAATTAGAAACAGAAATTCAGTGTCAAAAACTCTATTTTCTCGAAAGAATAGAGTCTTAAGAATGATATGATATAATTAACTTCTAGACTACTTTATAATGAGAGCCAAATTAAAGTTAGTATTTGCCAAATATAATAAAGAAATATCTTCGGTAGAGATTAGTATATTTTTTTTATTTTTATCAGTTTGTAAAGTAAAACATTCTTGGAGTATACCTATATTTATAAATTATCTAAGAACTTTGCTATGCCAACAGTATGAAGCACGCATGAATAGAATTTTGACTCCAGACATTATCCTTAACTTCTACTCGAGATAGTTGACTTGAAAACAAACTTTTTCTTAATTAGTTACATTAAATCAAGTATTCTATATACTAATATTCTCCCTTAATAGAATAGAATATTATTTCTTTACAAACTGAAAATATGAATTTAATATCAATCTTCACAGAGTTCTCTGTTTAGATCATTTACCACAATAAATGATGATACGCATAAATAAATTTTCTTGTGACAAAACTGTTTTGTTTCATATTCTACAATAATTTTTCACATACTAAATCCTAGTGATCTGTCATACAATCTGTAGCCTCATTGCTTTGCGACGATACAGCATGTCAGTAAATATTATCATTTTACTATCACCATGAAATCCAAAATTTAGTATACATGAATAAATACGTCGTGACAGATTTCTTTCTGTACTTTGATGATAGATAGAGCATGATTCTTATCATATTTTTTTTTGAATACTCCAAAGACATTAATGTAGAGAATATCAACACTGTTCATCTGCAAATAAATTATGTAAGTTTCATTGATTCATTGAATTGACGTCATTCATGACAATATGAGCAACCACAATACTGTCGATGTCGATCTTTCATTCTAATGCACTTTTTTCGTAAACTTGTTTTTCTTTTTCTAATCAACTCACCATAACATCCTACTACAATATTTGTACTAAAATAGTTATAAATTTCACTACGAATATTTCTATTTATTTTATTTCATGGAATCAAATTAAAAATTAAATACAAATTTTATAACTATATGTTATTCAGTTTTTCTGTCACATCTCTCATCAATGATGACAAACTAACAAGCAAAAATAGTAAACATATTTCCATAAAGTGGATTAATATCATAACATAACAGAAAGACCTAGAATATTATATTCTACTTTTTGTGTATGCGGTAGCTGTTTATACCAATTCAAACGAAAATAAGCTTTTTCTTTTGTCTGTTTATTATTTATCACAACAATGTGAAACTAAACATAGTTCTCATTTTCACAATTATTTTACTAAAAACTACAATACTCATATATTCAATATAACATATACAAATTGTTAGGTATTTGTCAGTTATTTCTTTCAAGAATAAAACAAATAAAATGAAATAAAGACACTAAAACATCATTATGATTATCAATTCATACTATAGAATATATAAAAGAAAGACAGAAAGAAATTAGTTTGTGAGCAAAGATTATAACTGTAGATCTGTTGAGAGTACTTCAGAATTTTAAATCATAATCCTATTTTTATGATATGAAAAATATACGAATAAATTAAATTCTGATGGCAACCATCAAAGAAACATATCAATAATTCCACTAGCTATTGACTATAGTCCATTTTTTGAAAAAAGGCAGTTCACGAAAATGTTTATA